AATTGATAACCCCTCCCTGTTGCCTTGTGAAAATAAATGCATAGCTGCTGTGCTGCAACACTTGCACAGAACAAATGCACTTACAGGAGAAACAAGCTTGGCTGAAGAGGACCTCATTTAAAATGATGAACCATAAAAGCAAAGAATCCACCTTGAACAAGACTTAATGGACATACCCAGTAGAAGAATTAGCACCCCTTCTAAGAATTTAAGATAATGTAAGAATCAGGAAGAGGGTGTAAAGGAAGTATATTTAAGATATATAAATATATATATAAGATAGACTTTAAGACAAGCATTATTAGGGATAGAGAGGGTTGTATGTGATCACAAAAGGAATATTTCAATAAGAACATAACATTTATGAACTTCAATGCACCTTACATTATAGTCTTAAAAGCATAAAGTAAAAATTAACTAGAATTGAAGAGAAATTATAGATCCACAATTATGAGAGAATTTAATGTTTTGTTCTCAATAAATAGAGAATAAATATTCTTTTCAAACACACATGAGACTTTACAAAAATTGAGCATGTTGTAGGCTATCATGCAAGTCTCAACAAGTACCAGAGAATTCATTTCTTCCAGACCCTCTTCTCTGATCAAAATGTAAAATCAAAATCAGTAACAAAAGTCCTACATTTGGAAATTTCAAGTCTGAGAATTATCAAATATGTAAAGCAGAATAACAATAAAAATGTTATTTTTTTATTATTATGTTCAGTTAGCCAGCATATAGTACATAATTAGTTTTTGATGTAATATTCAATGATTCAGTAGTTGCATATAGCACCCAATAAAAATGTTCTGATTGAAAACTTTTGGGGTGTAGTGAAAGGGATATGTGGAGAGTTTTATAGCCTTAAATGCATATGTTAGAAAATAATAAACATTAAAAGTAAATGGGCTTTACTTTTATAAATTTATTTTTTAGAAAGTTATTAAAAACTATAGAAAACCCTAGAGATTCTGCAAAAAAAAAAAAAGAATACTAGAACTGATAAATGAATTCAGTAAAGTTGCAGGTTACAAAATTATATACAGAAATCTGTTGCATTTCTATATACTAATAATGAAGTAGCAGAATGAGAAATTAAGAAATAGTCCCATTTACAATGGCACCAAAAAAATAAAATATCCAGGAATAAACTTGACCAAGGAGGTGAAAGTCCTGCACTCTGAAAACTATAAGATGAAAAACTGAAAATGACACAAATGCAAAAATATTCCATGCTCATGGATTGGAAAAAAAACAATATTGTTAAAATGTGCATACTACCCAAAGAAATCTACAGATCTAATGCAATTCCTATCAAAATATCAATGGCATTTTTCACAGAACTGGAACAAATAATGCTAAAATTTGTATGGAACCATAAAAGACCCCAAGTAACCAAAGCAATCTTGCAAAGCTAGAGGTATCACAATCAGAGATTCCAGGATACGCTACAAAACTGTTGTCATCAAAACAGCATGGTACTGACACAAAAACAGACACCTAGATCAATGGAACAGATAGAAATCCCAGAAATAAACCCATGCTTATATGGTCAATGAATCTACAACAAAGAGGCAAGAATATGCAATGGGGAAGAGACAATCTTTTCAATAAACGGTGCTGGGAAAACTGGATAGCTACAAAAAAAAGAATGAAACTGGACAACCACACACAAAAAATAAACTCAAAATGGATTAGAAACCTAAATATGAGACCTGAAACTATAAAATACTGAGAAGAGAGCATAGATAGTAATTTCTTTGACATTGGCCTTAGAAACATTTTTCCAGTTATGCCTCCTCAGGCAAGGGAACCAAAATCAAAATTAAACTATTGGAACTACACCAAAATAAAAACCTTCTACACAGCAAAGGAAATCATCAATAAAACAAAAAGGCAACCTACTGAGTGGTAAAAGATATTTGCAAATGATATATCTGATAAGGGGTTAATATCCAAAATACATTAAAAAACTTAACAACTCAACACCCCCAAAAAACAAATAATCTGATTAAAATGGGCAGAAACCTGAACAGACATTTCTCTAAAGAAGGCATATAGCTGGCCAACAGATCCATGAAAAGATGCTCAACATCACTATTCAGGAAAATGCAAATCAAAACCACAATGAGATATCAATCACCTCACACTTGCCAGAATGGCTAGAATCAAAAAGACAAGAAATAACAAGTGCTGGTGAGGATGTAGAGAAGAAGGAACCCTTATGAGCATTTTTGGTGGGAATGCAAACTGGAGCAGCCACAGTGGAAAAAAGTATAAAAGTTTCCTCGAAAACATAACATAATAAAGAAAAAGAAAACTTAAAGATGGAAATACCATATGATCCAATAATTCCACTAGTGGATATTTGCCCAAAGAAAACAAAAACACGAATTCAAAAAACTATATGCACCCCTGTGTTTGTTGCAGCACTATTTACGATAGCCAAGATATGGAAGCAGCCCAAGTGTCCACTGATAGAGGAATGGATAAAGAAGAAGTGGTGTATTCATACAATGGAGCCTTACCCAGCCATAAAAAAGAATGAGATCTTGCCATCTGTAACAACATAGATGGAACTAGAAGGTGTAATGGTGAGTGAAATAAGTCAGTCAGAGAAAAACAAATACCATATGATTTCACTTATATGTAGCATTTAAGAAACAAAGAAAAAAGAGATAAACAAAAAACAGACTCTTAACTATAGAGAACACACTGATGGTTACCAGAGGGCAGGTGGGTGGGGAGATGGGTGAAATAGATGATGAGGATGAAGGGTGGTGCACTTACCATGATGAGCACTGAATAATCTATAGAATTGTTGAATCACTGTGTTGTACACCTGAAACATAATACTGTGGTTTTTTTTGTTTTTTTATTATTATGTTATGTTAATCACCGTACATTACATCATTAGTTTTTGATGTAGTGTTCCATGATTCATTGTTTGCGCGTGACAGCCAGTGCTCCATGCAGAACGTGCCCTCTTTAATACCCATCACCAGGCTAACCCATCCCCCCACCACCTCCCCTCTAGAACTCTGTTTGTTTTAATTACACTTCAAGAAAAGAAAAGAAAAAAGAATAGAGCAAACTCAAAACCCGTAGAAGGAAAAAGTAATAAAGGTAAGACTGAATGTTATTGGAATGGAAAATAAATAAGCAATGTAGACAACCAAATGCTAGTCCTTCATTTAAATTAACAAAACAAAGCTCAGAAATTACTGATCAAAGGGCAAAAAACTTACGGTCATATAGGCAATATTCAGAAAGAAAAGGGGACATGATATAAATATAGCAGAGGTCTTAGAGTCATGAGAGAAATCTGTAAACCACTTTATGCCAACATACTTGAAAATCTAAACAAAAAATAGATAATTTCCTAGGCTTCAAAGTCAGAACAGTATATATAATAACATTTTAAAATAAGAGAGCAAGGGAGGGAGAAAGGGGAAACAGAAGAAGAGAGAGGAGGTAGGGGGAGAAAGGGAGGAAGGGAGAGAGAATGGTACATAAAGATAACTCTGAGTAGTGGAATACAGGTAATTCTGATATTTTTCCTTTCTGCTTACCTGTGTCCTGGTTAATTTACTCCCGTGCCTAATGTGTCAGGCAAGGGCAACTCCTATCTATGCAACCGTTGTTCACCATTTAGGCCATGGATTTTGAGAATTTGCCTGTGGTCAGGTGGGCCATGGAGGCCCCTGGAAAGAAAGAGGAGTCCCAGGGGAGCCTGGATGTGCAGAGATGGGACAGCATCATGGCCTGTGGCAGGGCCCGGGGAGGGAGCCCAGAGGCAGAGATGGCTGAGGACTTGAACCCCATCTTCCCATTGTCTTCTCCACCGTGTGTCTCTTATAAGGACATTTGTCTTTGGAATCAGGGCCCGTCAGGTTAATCCAGGATGATCACACCTCAAGATCCTTAACTTACGACATCCCTAAACACCCTTTTTCCCAAATAAAGAAGCATTTTAGGCTGTGGTGCTGAGGGCATGGACACACCTTTTGGGGGCCACCGTTCATCCCACTTCAGCGACTGACTGACAAATTTAATTACAGAAAAATGAAGCACTTCTAAATAACGAATGACACCACCAGCCAAGTTGAAAAGACAAGTGCAAACTGGGAGAGAGTATTTGCCGTATACATCATAGATTGGTCTGGGATGAATTGCATAGTCACAAACTGGGCATGGAAAAAAATAAATTATTTTGCTGTTCCTGTTTGTGAGTGTCCATTTTTGTAGCAGGAAAACCGTCTCAAACTTGCCAGGTCAAAGTAACTTGGTTACTTCCAGTCAGTTTTTCCCTGGGAAACTCAGCCTCTTCGGGGTATCCTTGCCTCTCAGGGCTCTCATTCCATCTCCCTGAGTGGAGAGAGAAGCACGTGCAGTGTGGTGTTGTGCATTAATATAGCGGGCCGTGTGCCCAGTATGACCATGAGCTCTTTGGAAGAAAGGATTGTCTTTGATCCAGTTCTGAATCACTAGTGCTTGGGATTTGCCCATCACCCAGAGAATCTTTATTGACTTACATTGATTTGAAAGCTTTTAAAATCCCTGGGTGTTTTCATTTCGGGGGATGTTAAATAGGGCCAGGGCCGCATTCATCCTATTCCCGGCAGGGCTGTTGCAGGGATTAATGTTTGAGCATAGATGATCTCCTGCTCCTTTAAAAAGGCATTAATTAAGTTAAAGGTTTTATTTTTCAAGGATGTGCTTAGTTTTTATAATAGTTTGTATCTCAATCTGTTGCCTGAAATATAATAAGGCTCATGTGCTTTCTCATAGAGAACAAGACATGCAGAAATGCACAGAAATTAATCCACCATTAGGGTTCCTCTCTGGATGTCATGTCAAGCAATTGGTGTTTCAGAGTTTACCATTTTGTGGGGAGATCCTTCATGGTGGCTTGGCCTGTGGGAGGCTCCGGGCAAGTGCTTTATGGAGAGAGCGTCCTGACCGGATGTGCTCTTTCTCTTCTCCTCCCGGTTGCCCAGTGAGATGAAGCAGAAGCTGGCGGAGGAAGGCAGCAAGTGCAGCATCCTCTCGAAGCATCAGAAGTTCGTGGAGCACTGCTGCATGCGCTGCTGCTCGCCCTTCACCTTCCTGGTCAACACCAAGCGCAGGTGTGCCGACTGCAAGTTCAATGTCTGCAAGAGCTGCTGCTCCTACCAGAAGCGGGAGAAGGTGTGGATCTGCTGTGTCTGCCAGCAAGCCAGGTGAGTGGCCAAGTGGACTTAAGGTGTCCGCTGGTGGCACAGTCTTCCTTTAGCCAGGTAGGAGCAGCAGAGGTTGACTGGTCATCACAGAGGACTGACCACAGTAAAGAGATTGCCAAGGTGTACAGAGTACCATATGACCTTTACAAAGAGAACAGAGGAGGGCTGTGCTCCTTGTCTGGTCTCATCCTCTCATTCATTCATGCCACAGGCATGTGCTGGATTCTTGGGAATTATGCTGGGTGCGGGAACATGATGGTGGATCAGGAAGATTGCTTATGGGGATGATGAATGCATGAGTGTTGATCATGGTATATACCGTGTATATATGGTATATATCGTGATACAGGCCTGACGAGTTCACCCATTAGCTGTGGGAATGCAGAGCAAGGAGCCACTAGCTCTAGAGTTTGGAAAAAGCTTCACAGAGAACAAGAAATAAAGGTAGGATGGTAAAAGATGAAGAAGAATTACTAACATGAAAGGGGGTGGGGATGGTGGTCTCCATGTGAAGGAAGTGGCTAGCGTGGAGTCTCACGGAGATACGTGTTTCTATTCTCCCTCAGTGACTGCCAGAGTATTTCTCTGATACACTGAGTATTTGGAAACTGATAAGTTTGATAAGCCAGTGTCTGGTGTTTGTTGCTTGGAATTCTTAAATCATTGCTGATCCTAGCAGCTGCAAAACACATTCGTATTCATTGCATCCTGCCATAATGCCTCTCACTGTGAGCAAGACAGAAATTGGCTGGTCCCCAGAACGTGACACACAGGAGCTCCCGCCTCCCTCATCTTCTCCTTTCCTCCTGCCTTGTTTGTTCACTTATATCCTTTAACTTATCAAGCCCCAGCATTTTCCCATAAAGCTAGTTAATGGAGATGACTGCTAAGCTCCCTTGGGATCCCCTGGGACTCAGTCTTTGAGCTATAAAGAGAAACCAATGGAAGCAAATGTGGTTTGTTGTGCACCCTTTGTCCAGGATGGGGTGCTGGTCAGGTTCTGCATGTGACTTTCAGAGCAAGGAACCTATCCAAGTCCCCATATATCCGCTTGGTAGGAGGAGGAGAAGCCCTGTGGCACCAAAGGGAAGAAGGAGACTTTAACTGCAGGTGAGCCTGTGCTTGGGAGTGGATGATGCAACCAGGTTCATCCAGTGTCTTCCCTTTCTCATTAAAGTTGGGTTAAGGTCAAGTGCTTAACAAGAGAGTTGGATGTCAGAAGAGATTGTGTGCAATAGACATTACAGAAGTTGGAGACCCAGGCTTTTGAGCTGGGTTCTAATCATCGATCTGTATACTTCCGACCAGCCCATTGTGCGTTTTGCTCCAGCCACACTCAACCTCACATATGCGGACATGAGGAAAGCAGACCTCCGGGTTCTTCCTGGGTTGGAGAGGCTTTCAGAGGCTTTCAGAGGCTTTCAGACAGACGCAAGGTTAAAGGAGTATGAGATATTTAAAATGTAGAAATTAAAATGATAGATTAATGTAGATAGCAAAGGAAAGAAAGACAAAAAGGAGCTGTAGATGGTGGGAAGAAGACAGAGAGGTCAGTCCACTAGAAGTACCTGGTAAAATTGAAGAACTATCACTTAGCAGAGAAAGTTTTGTGTAGGGTAAAACATGTTTGAGGTAGTGGTTTCCGAGGTGGATCCACTGGGTGGTGAACGTGGGCACAGGTGGCTGAGGTCTAGCTGAGGAAGGCATGGGACTAAAAGGCAAATGCACATGGATTCCGAAGTGACAGTTTTGATGGCAGAAGTTTGGAGGGGGAGACTAATCCAAGTGACACAGAGTGAGGATGAGGAACAAGCAGGCCAAGAAGTAACAGAAATAAGGAGTGGAAGAGCATGGCGTGGCTAAATGTCACGATTGTGCACCCAGCAAGCTGGGTGGGTCTTACACAGCGTTTGTCTCAAACATCAGCTACGGCACCCATGTTAGTGACCAAACTAATCCGTGGTGAATGCCTCGGGAACAGGGACCCTCCCTGTCTTCTTCAACTACATTTGCAGCACGAGAGCCTGGCAGGTGGAAGAGACACAGATCTTTGTGTGTTGAGTAACAGAACAGGACAATGTTCCAAAGCAGCCAAATGCATGGTGCAAATGAGGCTTCAGGAATTTTAAAGAGAAAAGGATCCAGAGAGTGTAGAGTATCCTAAGGAGGTTTTCTGGAAGACAGGGGGACCCCAGACGGAACTCCAATTGGGAAGAGGAATCACAGAGCATTCTTGAACAAGGTATGTCAAGAGCAGAAAAGATCCCCCAAGGTGTGTGGAGGGCCTGGAACAGTATATTTTAAATTTCCATTTCACATTTCTAGCCACCTAATGAGGAGGCAGGAGGCTTTGGTAATCCCATTGAGCTAAATCGTGCATCATTTCCATGTCAGCATTTAATGACAACTCCCTGAGTCTCGGGAGGGCATCAGAAAATAAAAAATCATCCATAGAAGGATACCTTGAAAGATATCTGAAAAACTCATGTACATTTGCTCTATCGGTTTTTTAAAGAAAAGGGGAGATTACTGAGAAGTCATCCACATTCAGTGTATCTAGCACAGAGAGAAGGCGCCCATGCTTATTTAATGAAAGTTGGCAGAAGGGCAGTCCTGAAGAGAAGTTGGGAATTTTGCTGTTTCATCTTGTATGATGTCATGTGGGGACATTTCTGGGAGTCTTGGGCTTGTAATAATATTGATGGAAAAGTGGAGCTTATTCCCTATTTTATTCAAGTTCATCGTAGGAACATATCTAGGGAAAAAAATCCATGATACATGTGGCAGGTTTTTGCTTCTAGAAATTTCTCTAAGGCCCAATTTGATAGAGAAGTATGTCCGGGCCAGAGCACCTCAGTGTATGACCTGTGGGCTGACAATCTTGTATATTTTGGAGGATGCCTCAGAAGAGTTTGTTTTACTTACGTAGTCAAGCTGTGTAATTCCTCAGCACTACACAGCAGACACAGGCAGATTCTTCATGGGAAGCATTTAAGGACTACTTTGACTTGGATCATGTATGAAAAATTTCTGATTGATAACAGCTTGTAAAGCCTGTCAAGTTTCTTTAAACAGAAAAAAAAATGTTTTACAACACATTGTTTAGATTTTAAATATGTATTTTTACTTGGCAAAAGCCGGTGTCATGCTGGGGGATGGCTTTGTGGGCACTATGCCACCATCTACATTGTTCATCAGTTTCCCTGCTCCTGGTGCAATCTGAGATTCACCTCTGGGTTTAGAGGTGATTAATTTTATTGTGGATATTCGTCCAGTAGATTCATATTCAAACAGTTGGGTTTAAAACCACTGTATATGTCAGAATCTATGAAGAACACATTGTGTGTGAGCTTGTGAAATCTCAGTGAAATGCTTTATAGCAGCTCTATGAAGTTGCAGAGGTGACCACTTTTGTGAGGCCACATTCAGACCCATATTTCACTGCCCCCTGGCCACGATGTACTTTTCCTTTCCTATATAAATTAGTTCCATTTGTACTGTACTGATTTAGTTTCAAGCTGTTTGTCCAGTGGCAACCATATGCCTATGGAGCCAAGAATAATTATAATAATAAGAATTCTTGTCCACAAAAAATTAAGGGGTTAGGAGTTGAGTGAGGGTAGACATTCATGCAAAAATATTAACAAATTGCATCAGAAATAAATGACTATCAGGCACCTGGGCCTGTCTGTGGTGTAGTTGACTTGGGTTAGAAATGTAGGGTTCACCAGGGAGGGCCCAGGTAGTGTCTAGTCTCTGTAAAAATGGGGAAATCTGTAAATTCAGCTTTCTTCTTTTTTGTTTCATGTCCTAGTCTTCTGTTTGGTTATTTATTACAGTAAAAGTATTTTAATTTTAAATGAAAATTCCCTTTTAATGGTCATTGCTGTAATTATGATCAGCGGGTTAGTTCATCATTCATTCTTTTGCTTCATATGTTTTCCGTTAAAAGCTATTTTTGGGAGGCACCTGGGTGGCTCAGTTGATTAAACAGCTGACTCTTGGTTTCAGCCCAGATCATGATCTCAGGATCTTGAGATCAAGCCCCATGTGGGGCTCCATGCTCAGCATGGAGTCTGCTTGTCCCTCTCCCTCTCCCTCTGCCCTCCTCCTCTGTCCCCTGCCTCCCTATGTGCATGCATGAGCATGCATGCACGCACGCACACACACTCTTCCAAATAAATAAATAAAATCTTTACAAAAAAGCTATTTTTTGTATTTTAGGGTAGACCAGCCTGCTGGTCTACCCTAAAGATTTTTGACTTGTCAGCCTCCATAGTCCTCTGAGCCAGTTTCCTAAAATAAATGTCTCTCTCAATAGATGGCAGATGTCAGTTTAGAATTTTTAACTTTGGGAAATTAACAAACATTAGATGAATTTATTAGAGAATGAATGCTGGATTACTAATTTTGGAGGTTATATAGCCAATAGGATACTACTGAATCATTCCCTTTGTCATATATGTATCTGTATGTATCTATATCAATTTATCTCCTAGGCAATTTATTGTATAGATTCATGCAAACATTATAAATAAGCATGTATAGTAGTTGCATTTTAAGATCTTCTGCAGGAAACAAACTTGCAGAGAGAGTCCAGACCTTACTTAACAGCCATTGTCATTTGGGGTCAAATTGATTAAAGAACAATGATCTTACTTTCCTTGGGAACAAATTGGCTTCCTAGTTCTCTGCTTCATTATAAAAATTGTTCTCTCTGATTTTTTTCACTATGTGCTATTATCTTTAATACAGACCAATTTGGGAGATTGTTGTCAGGGAATGAGAAAAAAAATTATCTTGGAATCAAAATCAAACACATCTCCTCATTATGCCTATGTCATTTGCTTTGGTTTTTCTGAGACAACTTAAGCCTTCATTTCTTTTCACTTGGAGTTGAATATCCTCTACTTGTATCTGATCATTTATTCACAGTGTACATGATCATAGACTAGCATACTTCCCTTTTGGTATGAACTCCACAGTATGTTTTAGAGATA